AGTGACAGTCTACAAATACCAGATATTCAAGAAAATACAGCATTAATGTCACTACCAGAGCTCAGCTTTTACAAAAAATTATAGAAGTTCCTCTTCTCATGTAGATTTAGTATTCCCAGTTTATATTCCACCTTCCCAGGCTTCCAGCACAGCTGTCAGGAGCTGTAATGCCTTATCGTGAGAGGAGGCTGCAGCATCAATTCATAAGTACATGGACATTTTACCCACATACTATACTAAAACTCATAAAAGAATACCAGGAAGAGAATATATAAAATGCCAAAAGCAAATAAATAATATCTGACAAAAATATGTGATGATCCTAATGAAAATTATAAGAAAACCACCACTTTAAAACGTACAAATACCTGAGTTCTATTGCAGGAGCAAAGAGCATACTGAGGAGTGCAAGCAGGCCATGAATAGGAGGCATCAAAGATGTTTCTCCTAAAATCAGACACCCTGGCACCAAAAGGAAAAAAAAAATTAAAAAAAATCACACAACTCCAAGGAGAATTTAATGAAAATGAAACCTCAAAAAGATGTAACACAGAACTACAGTGACATATTTACTCACAGAACTACACATATAAAACCAGAAGTCTAGAGAAACAATCCGAACATTTTTATTAGGCATTACCAGCTGCAGTTACTGACACATCAGTGGCGACCAAGAGCTGCTGAAAGGGATCTTCTACACCATCATGGACAACAATGGAGTTTATGCTCTCCTTACTTATGAAAACATTTCTGGGGAAGAAATATTTTCAACAATAAAAAACTCCAAAACTCATAAAAACCATGTAAGTAAAAAATCTACATTCCCAACACAAACTCCAACTAGCTGCTTACTGTTAATAGATTTAAATGACGGTTAATAAATAATGTCTCAGTAAGACAATAATGCACCTTAAAACTACTCTAAGATTTTAAATAGCAATAGTGTGTGTATTAATGCTATTCAGGCTTGACTCCTCCTTCAGTCTTTCCAGTGAATAAAAATTCAGAAAAAATCTGTAAGAATAATTAGGTGTTTTTTGCTGATTTGTTGAACATGAAAGATAAGAACAAGACTATACTTCACAATAAGTCTGCTCATACCTGAATTGGGATATTCTGGTCAGACTGTAGCATTTCAGCTGATAAGGACTGAACGGACCAAAAACTTTTACCTTGAAAAAAAGGGAGAGAGACAAATGACATTCTAGTTAGCCAGCACCTGGATCTCTTCAAATCTAAATGCTTTATAAATTAAAGCCAAACACATTTCAGCATGTAGTGAGCTACACTGAGTTGCTAAATTGGTAGTATGGCACTTCCATTTCATTCATCTAAAGTGAACTTTGCTTGTTGAGGCACTTGAACTAAAATTATCCATTTTCACAGGTGCTGCAGATTCATGACTTTCCTCTGGCTTAAAAAACTTGAATTCAAACTTCATAGATCACTTAAGAAAATCAGGTAATTTTATTTATGTGATGAAGTCTTTAATCCTGAAAATATGTCAATTTATGAAATGGACAGTTAAACAGGATTACTCCTGTGCATAAATGGAGCATTATTAGATGCTTGAAAACCTGAAATTTTGTCAGGTCTGAAATGGGAAAATAATCAGAATGTAGATGAAGCCTAACTTGTCATCACAATGTGGAACAGGACACGTTTTCCTGTTCTATATTCCAACTCAGTAGTGACTGGATACCTCAAAACACATTTCTGAGTCTGGCACTGGCAGAGGAAAAGCATCATTACCATCAGTAACTGGAGCGTTCACTGCTTCACCTATCCCAGCTGCTTACCTATTACTAGCTGATAAAGAATGAAATACTGTGTATAGTAAAATCCATGTTTAGATTTTCTGAAAAACTGATAGGGTTGTAAACTTGCTTTTTTTTGCTGTGGCTTATATAATGAAGACTACCATGTACAGAAACATTGCATTCAGCTGTTCTATTTTATCTCTGTTCTGCATGAGTTCGAAGTGCTGTTTTAGATGAATTAGAAGAGCAGGAACACTTAGCTCTCAGGCTGTACTTCAAAACTCTGCTTAAAGCTGCAGCAGATCAATCTGAGACAGTGGTCACACCAAGGCTTTCTACCAACAGAAAGTAGAATGTCCTATCAAACACAGCTTTGTTATTTGTGGTACTTTCAGTCTTCATCTCCACCCTAACAATGTGAGAAGCAGGATCACATGATGACAGGCCAAAACCACCACTCAAGTTACCTTATGGGTTGGTGCATCAGATTTCTTTTCAGAAAAACAGTTCAACAATCTTTCAATGAGATGCTTTTCTTCCTGTCTTGCAGATACAGGCATTTGCTCTTTTTCCTTTGCTTCATCCGA